CTTCTTTACGATCGATGTATTTAGGGAATTTATGGACTACATCAGTATAGGACTCCGCGTTTATAATGTTTTGGAATGAAATGGGGTCGACCATATGTGATTATTATGAGAGTTCACATAACCGGTAAGATGGGACCACATCACTAGATAGAAGTCACGTCTGACATAACTAGGGCCCGTCCCCCACCTTTGCAAGCGTACACTCACTGTAATGACGTGGTTTTCCCAGTCCATTGGCTTGTTACCACCGAACTGTTAAATAACACGCACTCTGTGGCGAAGTAACTGGGATATCGTCTCTCCTTCGCCACAACTACTGTACGTCATCCAGTTTCTTGTACCAGTTTGCTCAGTGACCTGGGTGGATCTGAACTCAATCTGTTATTAGCGTCTGCTGTACTGGCATCTGTAAAGATAGCCGACCAGCGAACGTGTTTCTGTACTAGTATGTTCATATTCCCTGTCTACCTGAACGGTTCTGCAGACGTCCATGTTACAGACACCCAGAACTGTGGCTGTACTCACTTTGGGTTGTTGAAGTAACCCTCCAGCGAGGACATATGTTTCTGTAAGCTAGGCGCCATGCTTTTTTCCACCACCCGCTCTGTACACTGCGTACTGCGCATGCGAGTTTCGCCAAAATGGCTGTAGCGTTCTTATACGTGACGTTAATATTCCTAAAATTGTGATTTCGTTTAAAAGTATCACACTGTAAATTACATAAAAGAGGCATATTCATATTTTTTTTTATTGTTTAAATCACAAATATAGTTTTACAAATTAAATGGCGAATGATAGAATGTTTAAGGTGATATTTTCACAATTTGTAGGATATGAGGTTCTCACAGCGATAGTTATTGCCATATTTTGGGACATAGCGCTATGTAGTCCGTATATGAGCCGACGTTTCGGAGGAACGTATCACCTCCACCTGTTTGGCTGATTTTCGGTCCTGAAGATGGAGGTTATACATTCATCCGAAACGTCGGTTCATATACAGACTACCTGGCGCTATATCCCAGAAGATGGCAAATTTCGTTTTCACAATTTTTTCATAAATATGCTCCAGCTTCACCGGACTTTACACTTACAAAAATTAATGTTGTAGTGTTATTGTCTCTCAGAAACGTCATTGAGGGCACGACATACTTTTAGTAGGTAGCTTGCGGGGAAAAAAAGTCCCGTGTGTCCAATGAGATCTCCGTACAGCAGTTTTGGTTCCCATTTTATGTTGGACTTACTGTGGTATGTCTGCTGAAGGTTTAGAATCAGAACCAGAAGAGACGGCCGTTGTTAGGCAGTGGCTCTGTAAGCACACTTCCATGGTAACCGAATAACGTGACCGCCGCAACAGACACGAAAGCAACAATAGGGGAATTGTTGGAGGCGGTGCTCTCTGTTGGGTCCGTGTAGTCTATATCAGGAGCACCTACGGGCAGGTCTGAGGTTTCGATGTTTGTGGTGGCCACCTTCGTAGGGAATGCCTCGAAAAGTTGAATACAGAATCTACGCCGATTTGCTGCAGTTGCACTCTAGTAGAAGAAGAGAAACCTCATCCGGCGTCATACTGAGGCTGCAGCCATGCGAAAGGAGAGGAGCAAAGCGTGCTCCCAAGGGATCCTCTGGGAGGACGTTCTTCTCTAAGTTCACCTCACCAGGGCAATACAACGCAGCTGCACTGCGGCAAGACAATCAACAACAGCAACCAAAGGCACCGCAGACAGAGGGGAAAAGCGTCCGGCACCCCGTGCAGCTGCAGGTGCCGCAACAGGAATTTCAGAAAACGTCTCTCAGTACAGGCTCCCAGTTCGTCTAACAGTGACACTGTAGCCACTACAGTGCAGCAGCAGGTGCCACAACAGGAATTTCAGAAAACAGGTCTGTCAGTACAGGCTCCCAGTTCGTCTGACAGTGACACTGTAGCCACTACAGTGCAGCAGCAGGTGCCACAACAGGAATTTCAGAAAACAGGTCTGTCAGTACAGGCTCCCAGTTCGTCTGACAGTGACACTGTAGCCACTATAGCGCAGCAGCAGGTGCCACAACAGGAATTTCAGAAAACAGGTCTGTCAGTACAGGCTCCCAGTTCGTCTAGCAGTGACACTGTAGCCACTACAGTGCATCAGATCATGACAGAGCTCGGTGGAGCTATATCACAGGAAGACAGGATAATGATCATTACAAAAATGGTACTCAATTTAATGCAACAAAATGGCTGCTAGAGTTCATAGGCATCTCAGATTCATAGCGTTTAATCCAAATGGCATTTGGAGGCAGTGCTATGAGCTCAGTAAACGGCTGCAAGACTTACATATAGATGTGGCTCTTCTCTCAGAGACGCATGTCAAACCCCATGAGAGGTTATTTATTCCAAATTGTCACTTTTATCGTACTGACCGCTTCCAGGAAGAAAAGGCGGAACTGCCGTTGCAGTGAGAAAAGGCATTCCCCACAAACATGTAGACCTGCCTCCTCTTGTTTCAGTAGAGGCCACAGGGGTTTGCATACCGATCGGTAGTAGTACTCGTAAAGTGTTACTTGGAGCAGTATATAAGTCCCCAGGCAACTCCTGGAATGATGCTGATATCACTGAGCTCTTAAGCTTTAGACATAAGTCGACATTGGCAGGAGATCTGAATGCTAAACATCCATTTTGGAGTTTCCAACCCTTCAGTCGTGAAACTACTGAATTTACTGCATATAAATGAGTTTGAAATTTTATCACCACAATGTCCCACTCATTACTCTCCTACGGGAAATGGTGACGTGCTCGATATTGTTGTGCACAAGAATGTCCGGCTGTCAGAAGTCATTGTCTCTGACATTCTGGACTCAGATCACCTACCAATCGTTTTCCACTTGCTGGATCATATTAGAACTAGGAATCTTTCGGACTCGGTTGACAAATTCACAGATTGGAAGCCGTTTCAGAGCTTGGCCTCTGAATTAATTTCACCTAGAATCCAAATTAACTCGGAGAAAGAAGCCGATAAAGTGGCCTGCTACTTTATCGCCTCTATAGCTTCGGCATACAGGCAAGAAAAATTACACTCTCGGACCTTGATAAGAACATACCTTGTCTGGAAAGTTTGATAAAACAGAAAACCAATTCACATCTCATGACCTGTGTGACGAAAATCATGTGCGACAGGTGGAGACTACAGTCCAAGCTCTGCTTGCACCCGTAGAAGGCTCTCCGTTGGGGAAAGTACGACCTTGTGACATACATAAATTAACAAATACATTAAAATTGCGAAAGGCTTATGGACTTGATGGTATTCTAAACGGATGCCTTAGGATCTGACACATTTATTTAATCACTGCCTTCGGCTGTTCCATTTCCTAAAGCCTTGGAAGGAAGCAAAGTTTATATCGTTTCCGAAACCCGGTAAGGACCCAAAATTTCCTCTGAATTCACGCCCGATTAGCCTCTTGTCTACAATAGGCAAGCTATTCGAAAACGTTATTCTGAAAATAGTCCAAAAGCACATTGAAGAAAAAGGTACGATTAATGCAAGCCAGTTTGGTTTCCGTGGCAGTCATAGCACGAGACTTCAACGTGTGTGGCTTACGGACCACTTAACCTTAAATTTCAACAATAACATGTCTACAAGTGCTGTATTCTTGGATAGTGAAAAAGCCCTTGACATAACATGGCATGTTGGCTTGCTATATAAATTATCTACATTACGAATTTCGATCAGCCTAATCAATCTTATTAGCTCTTTCCTCTCTCAGAGAAAATTCAGAGTTTCAGTCGAAGGTGAAATGTCTACGTCAAGGGATATACAAGCAGGAGTGCTACAAGGTTCTGTTCTCTCCCCCACACGGTACAGTCTATATATAAACGATACGTCCCAAACACCCGGTGTCTATCTAGGTCTCTTTGCTGACGACACCTGTATATATGCGACAGACCGCAAAAAGGGTTTTGTTCTCAGAAAGCTGCAGCGAGGTCCCAGTGCTATTGAGACGTGGTGTGAGCGCTGGAACATGAAAATCAATGAAGATAATACTCAAGCAATCTACTTTTCTCATAGATTTAGGCCCCCTGAGGGTCATCTTAAATTAAATGGACAGAACATCCCCTTTGTCAATCATGTAAACTATCTGGGTGTAATCTTCGGTAAGAGGAATACGTGGAGATTTCACATAGAAATGATTGAAGCCAAGGCCTTCAGAACATTTATTAGAATCTGCTCCCAGTTCAGAAGTGAGAGTTTAAGCGCAAACATCTACTAACCCTCTACAAGGCACTGATCAGATCAGTAATGACTTACGCTTATCCCGCCTGGGAATTAGCGGCAAGACACCTACCGCTTAAAATTGCAGCACATGCAGAACAAGGTTTTGCACACCATTGGAAATTTTCCAAGGCGCACACCGGTCCGAGACTGACGGCTGTTGCCATCTTCAGAGTTAATGACCTTTGGAGGGACTTTGGCAGCCCTCATATAACTCTCGCGTTGGGAGGTATATCGGAGGTGAAGCCGTGATTGGGTGTTAATTTTCTTCTTCTTTACCTTTTAAAATCAGAATTAATCTGGAACTGCCGGGCCTACAGACAGTCGGTCGGACTCCTTGGTTGGAGGATCAGTCCATCTCAAGGCTCCTACTTACACAGGAAAACAAACAGAATAAACGCGGAGAGACATCCGTGCCTCGAAGTGGATTTTAGCCTACCATTAAGCGAGAGAAGGTATTCCGTGCCTTAGACCGCGCGGTCACTATGATTGGCGATATTAGAGTTAAGTTAGTAAAACGACTGGCTGGAGGGCTGGACTTCGAATCCCGGAATGGAGAAGTCTTCCGCCACAGCAGTCAGACCGGCAATCACCCTACTTCCGTGAGGGTGAAACGAACAGAGCGTGTAGCTGGCTTCTGACCTAATACTGAGGCATAATTCTTGGAGCTTTCTCTCTACGCCCTCCCCCTTAATGCGCCCCCGTAATGTGTAATGTTCATTTCACCCATTTGATTATGGTGTTTTTGTGTTGCAGGTTGCAGCAGCGCAGTACCCTAATTTGAAGCAGCACCGATAGGTGGCAACACATCACAATGTCACAGATAATTAAATTCTTCGACGATTTCCACACGATGCTAGAAAAGAATGGCGGTAGGTGGTACTGAAACTTGTATATTTTTACATTACACCGAGAGGGTTGGTTTGTCTCATATTCCGGAGGTGCTGTGTTCGAATCGCGTGCATTTCCTCAGTCCCTCCAGGTAAACTCCGGGATATTAACCTCACTTATGGCACGGGCGCGTTCTTCAGAACCTTTTTCGCCGTTCTTCTATCAGTCACTATACACTTATAGTCTCAGAGACTGACAGAATCGTAACCCCTCCCCTCCCACCCCAAAAAGTTAGGGATTAAGGACTTTTTTAAGTTGAAGTTGTACCTGAGATAGCTTATATAGTAACTAGGATTCAGACTGGAAGACCGAGGAATTCGCTTTGATTCCCGGCAGGGACAAGAGGTATTTTTCTACGCTGCGTTTACACCGGTTTTAGGGCCCACTCAGCCTCCTATACAATGAGTACCAAGGGCACTTTCCCCGGGGTGTAACGCGGCCCGGGAGTGAAGCTGACCACTCGCCTCCTCTTGTCGAGGGTAAGGATACTTGGAACTATACCTTTGTTTCCTAATACGTCTTCATAGCGTGGCGATTTACTGAACACAGTCAGTGTAAAAGATTATTAACGCCATCCAGTGTGATTGATGTATGTTGTGTTTTTTTAATCTTTCATCCTTTATATGTTTCGAGCCGAGCGACCATCTTCAGAAGGACATATCAGTACATGCGGAAACTACTCTTACAATGTTATTGGTCATTATCAATACATACACTACTATTACAATGTGATAAAAATAAAATATTATCCTTTAACAGTTACTGTGGTGTGCATGAATTTATTAAAACATTTATAAATTATTATAATTAGTCTATTTAGAAGTATGGTTCAAAACATTCTGTTAAAAGGACACGAACCAAATTGGTTCTATATGTTGTGTAACATGAGACATAAAGGGTTATGTTCTGGTAGCTTAAGACTCTGCTATATTTTTTCATATTTTAACACATGTTACGCTATGCTTAATGTTGTTTTGACTTTAAAACAAATAGAGGGATATCAAGTAACAGCACTGAACATTTAAACTATAAACAATTTTAAAAATAAGTACAAGTATATAGGTCACAAATGGAAGTAAAGCAGCTGTAATAGACATAGTAGGTTTTCTATGTGTATCACTAGGTATCAGCACAGTCCGGCTTCGTGACAGTCTAGGTAGCAGATGCGCATGCGCACGTTCAGAGGTAGTTTCAGTCGTAAAAATGGGGATCGTACTTGAGTAAACTAACGAAGTGCAACGTTCTGTTGTGCGTTTTTTGTGTGGGAAAAGGGACTCAATGCAGAGGACATTCATAAAGAAATGTTTCCTGTTTACGGTCGTGTTTGTCGCGTAAATCGATTCACAGCTGGGTTGAGAAATTTTCTAAAGAACGTTCGAAATTTGCAGATGAAGCCCGACAAGGTCGCCCTGTTGATATTGCGACAGAAGCAACGGCAGTCAAAAGATTTCTATGCTCCGGGGTTCGACGCACTGGTAAAGCGATGGGACAAATGTATCAATGCTGATGGAGGATATGTCGAGAAATGAATGTTTTTTGCAGGTTCGAATATTATATGTTTTACGTTTTATATTTATTTGTGACCTATTTACTGACCCTCCCTCATATATTAACATTTTACCGTGTACCGTTGAGAGTTAAGATTCGAGGTACTAGAGCATTTACAAACTTCATGAGGAACTGAGCATTTTAATCAAAATCCGACATCTGCAACACTTTACTGAATGTGCATGTATGTAATGTTCTCACGCCGCAGAAATACTCGTGTAATTACACCAGTAGAGGCTCCATTTTTGAAATTGTGTCATCTGAGGGATGATTACGGGGGCCCTGGTGCCAGATGGGCGTGAGGCACAGGCTTTGAATTTTTGAGATTATCGGATGTTTGCATGTTTGTAGTATTTGCCTTTTACTCTCTGAAACAGTCATTCGTATGACTTATGCATGAGTTAAGATACAAGTAAAAATATATTGAATATGTCTGAGTTAAACTTTTTATCTCCTTAAGGGTTTAAGGCTCACAGCCGAATGCTCTTGTTTTTGTGTTTGTTAAAACACTTTGCTGTTTTATTAGAACGTTGGCAGTGGAAAATGAATATGCAGACTGAAATGTGGCAATAAAATGCCCAAGTAAAACAAATTGATTCAAAAGGAGTATCAGGAGGAAGAATAGAAACCAAGGAGAATAATGTACATGTGACAACACAGAAAGCAACTATCCAATTATTCTGTTTTTACTTTACTGTCAAGTACAAGCTGGGGTTTACGTTAGAATCACACATAAGTTTTCAGTTCCAGGGCACACATGCCTTCTGATTCCAGCTTTTACGCGATTGTTAAACTGTAGAAGGAGAGAGTTTTGGTTTTATCACCAGATGGCAGGTGTTGTCTTATTAGGTAGGCAGTGATATTGGAAACAGTACATATTAGAAACTATGACACAGTAATTGAGCTTGTCACAAAATCAAAGTTCACAACCTATAAGAAGAAAATAAATAGAGAACCACGGCATTTTAATTTTTGATTTCGTATCTCACTTGGTTAGTGTTCATATTTTTCAGGGTGGGAAAGCTGGAAATGTATAGAACTTTGAAGTATGAACAGAGGTTGTGTTGTTCAAGAACCAAAAATGCAACTCTTTGGAGATGTTTGCTAGTCTTACTACCAAGATATTCACATAGAAGGCCAATAAGTATGCAGATTATGGTAATGAGCTAAAATCAGTGTTATTTGCCCTACGAAATTAGTTTACGTATTACATAACCTTAAAATCCGGGAAAGCAAGTCAGATGCAGAGGAACAACAAAGGGTTGGAATTTTGGAATAAATTAAATATGTGTATGATTAGTTTTATATTAACTACAATAATCAGCATTTAGCAATTAAATCAATGTAAAATTTCTTTATTAAAACCGTCACAACACGACAATATTAAGGTCAGTGCCTAGTTTGGCACTGCTACATGTTTCGGCTATTAAACGCCATCATCAGGCAAAATACATGGCTAACATATATACACCACTGAACTGCAGTATTAATAAATTGGAGTCGTTTACGTTCCCTACAAAACGGACAATACTTTGTAAGATGAGGCACCGACTAAATAATTAACATTAATATTACTCCATCTACATCACGAGACTCCAGAACAATTTATTATATAATACAAAATATAGAATACTCCAGTTTGTCCGTGGTAACACAACAAAACCACAAAAACCAACGACTGACTCGATGATGTAAAATATCACTCGAAGGATTTTATTCTTCTTTTATATTATAACTTTTGTTTTATATAATCTAATTTATTGTATTTGTACGCCAAGTATTTTAATATAATAAATATTATTGTATCCAATTTATTAGTACTTTGTATGTTAGCCATGTATTTGCCTGATGATGGCTTTTAATAGCCGAAACATGTAGCAGTGCCAAACTAGGCACTGACCTTAATATAGTTGTGTTGTGACGGCTTTAATAAAGAAATTGTATAATACGTGTATAACACAACAGGATGCATGAAATTAAAATCAGTGTAAGCTTATCACTCACACATCACTCATGGAGCTGAGCCCTTTTTGAGATGCCGCCAATTATGCAGCTACTCAAGAGCCAAAGGTTCATTACCGTGTTCACAAGAGCCCTCCACCAGATCAATCCAATCCATATCATCCCATGCGATCTCTCTGAAATCAATTTTAATACTGTCCACCCACCTACGCCTTGGTCTTCCCAGTGGTCTCTTTCCTTCTGGCTTTCCCACCAATATCCCATATGCATTCCTCTTCTCCGTTCGTGCCACATGCCCTGCCCACATCATCCTCCTTGACTTGATCATTCTAATTATACTTGGAGAAGAGTACAAGCTATGAAGCTCCCCATTATGTAGTTTTCTCCAACCTCCCGTAACTTCATCTCTCTTCGGTCCAAATATTCTCGTCAACATCCTGTTCTCACACACCCACTTTAATAAAACGAAACATAACATTAAACACTGCGGCACAACTTTGTTTGAATTTGGTTTCTTAATAAAGAGAAATACTACAAACATTATGCATTATTTTTAAAACGCTTAAATGAAATACGTCTACTGTTTTCATAACAGAATTTTACCCAATTCGCTGTATGTAACTTAAAAGTTTTTGCAGAACATACTGTTTCTGATAAATACTAAAACAACGTGCAAACATCAGATATTCTGAAAACTATGTTTCTGTGCCTTACACCTTTACGGTGCTAGTTCCCTTTTAGGTTACTATTTTACATGAAAAAAGGGGGGAGCAGTGTAATTGTTGAAAAGGATAAAGGACTGGAAAGGAGGGTGCGAAGGAATAAGAAACAAGAGAAAATATTCTGCATTGAATTTCAACGGTATTTTTCCACTTGTAATTCAATATAAGTAAACAAAGTCTTTAAGCTAACTTCCCTATTCTGTAACCAGCCAAGTGCCGGGTCAGAGAGATGAAACCCTCAACTTAGGGACACAGCATATGATACTGTGCTGCCTGGTCAGGGCTGTTGTACACCTCTGAGTTCGGTCATGGATGTCGTGAAGCATTTACTCAACGGGTAACATGGAATCGTTTGACCTCTGTGGCACTAGAGGACGAAGTAAAATTCTCTCACTGTTTCGAAAGACCTCGCCATAGGCAGAGGCAATAAACAGAATCGAGAGACATGTTGTTGTTATAGGAAACAGATAATCTGAAATATCCGTGTTTTGCATAATTCACCCGGCGAAGGACTGTCTGACCTTACAAGTGAAAATTATAATAATTTGACAATGGCACCGTAGGCCCTTGGTTGTGTCGTACGTAAAGTCGAGGTCAGTTGAATAAGATTGTTATGTCTCATGATGGGAATGCAACAGGCCACTGAACGTTACGCTTCTTAGCTTCTACGCTACAGTGCCCAAACTCAGGCGGTTTTGTCGCCGGATTCCCACTTCGGATACCCGGATTTAGTGCCAGGGTCATTCATA